GTTAGAAGATTTACTCCTCGCTATGAATGTCAAAAACGAGGTCAATTCCCGAGCCAAACAACCAGCGCCAGGTCGGGTTGACCTACAGAAGTTTCGTACCTCCGACGGCCCAACCTTTCGTGGACCGTTTCAAGAAACCAAACCTTTCTTACGTTGGATTCACAGCGTACAAATTTTCTGCGAAACAAAGAGTGTCAGCAACGCAGCCGATAAGATCAAAATACTCGGAAACCTAGTAGTGGAAACAAACCTTCAGTCTTTCTACGCAAACAAAGCGGCAAGCTTTCTCAACAAGTCCTGGGAGGAATTCAAAGCTCGCATGTTCGACTTCGCGCTCCCCAATAATTGGCGTTCTGGACTCCAGCAACAAATCCGTAAACTAGAGATGTCACAAACCGAGACCTTCTTAGAATACAGCACACGAGCTCGCACCCTGCAGAGCTTATTAAATTTCGAAGCCAAGAAGCTATCCAAACTCGGAGCTTTCTCAACAAGTCCTGGGAGGAATTCAAAGCTTGCATGTTCGACTTTGCGCTCCCCAATAATTGGTGTTCTGGACTCCAGCGACAAATCCGTAAACTAGAGATGTCGCAAACCAAGACCTTCTTAGAATACAGCACACAAGCTTGCACCCTGCAGAGCTTATTCAATTTCGACGCCGAGAAGCTATCCAAACTCGGAGATCTTCAACTAGCTCAATTTGTTGTATACGGCTTATCCGATGCCCTCCAAGACAGGATTCATGAACGTCAACTCCTAGAGACATCTCCTTTTGTGTATGGCCAGTTCGAGAAGCAATCCAACACTTCTTTCTTGCGCTGCCAAGACCCACGGGCCCAGCACTGATGACCAAGGCAACACCTAGCGCCCCACTGACTCTTGGCTGTGACGAATTCATATGGCGGGTCCACGCCTTCCTGGATTCACAAGGTCTTTGTCATTTCTGCAAGAGACACTGCGGCAATGCCGCCGGGGCCTGTCCCGGGCCAATCGACCGTTCATACCTCAACATCCCCAATGAATTCCAAACCTCGACTAAGCCTCTCAATTATGTGGCCCCCCGCGCCTGGAGCAAACCTACCACCAGCCCCGGACAATCCTCTCAACCTCCAGCCGGCTGACCCCCAGCTCAAGCAGCAAGTTTAGCAGGTGTCGCAGAGATAACACCGCTTGAGGCTCATGTTGCCGGTTTGACGATTGACACAGCAATCAGACAAGATTCACTTAAGGACCATGAATTCAAGAATGAGGGTTGTTTCCCAGCCCTGGGGACAGCAGCGGTAGCTGCACTAGAGGATCTCAACAACCAGCTCTTACAAAATGAAATTGAACAGGCTACTCAAGCTTCCAACAGTTGGACGGGCAACTTGGCGGATGACATTGCGGGTTGCTAAGGATCCACATCTTCAGGGATTGCTTTACTCTCCAATTTCTTCTTGTTTTTCTTTCCCTTTTCTTTTCTTCTTTTCCTTTCTTCAATTTTTTATAGGAGGGGAGACTGTAAACCCCTCCCATGTTGGGTTTCACAAGGCTGTCATGTACATGTCTTCTTGTCTCTATCTTACTTCTAGCTCTCCCTTCTCTTCCTGGCTCAGCAGAGAACTGACCCCGCACTCTCTCTGAGCCAGGTGAGCCTTTGATTTCTTTTCTTTTCATTTCATTCTCTTTGTTTTCTCTTCATTTCTAAAGTTGTATCACAGAGAGAACTGACCCCGCACTCTCTCTGAGCCAGGAAATACAAACCCCCCAGTTTGGTCTTAGAATTCTTCGGCTCATTAGCCCGTCTCCGCACCTTTCCCCTTCACCCAGTGAAGGACTAATAGAGTCCTTACAATCGGGGTTCATTGACATAGAGCAGCTGGAATTGAGATTCGCATCACCAGTGCCGGAGTAGAAGTTGGAGACAGACAGGGACGCAACTGCGTTTCCAGCAGTGAATTTGACCTCAGAGCCGGAGTAGTCTGATTCAACATCGTCATCGTAGGTATGGGAATGTCCGCCTAGGGTGACGGCAGAGGTGCGGCCTGCTCGAGCTGCTGGTTTGCCTGATTGAGTTTGTTGTCTATCCTGATCTTTAGAGTTGGTCTGACTTTTCTGGTTGGCTTTATGCTCGTCAAGGATTTGGCGAGTATTGTTGCAGTTATTTAGATCGTGGCCATCGGCATTACAAAAGTCGCAGTGGCGCTTCTTGTTGCGATCACCGGGTCGCTTACCGTTGTTGGGCTTAGTCTTAGTCGAGGAGATGGATACTGAGACTTCATTTTGGGAGTGACGGCGGGTATGCTCGTTTTTAAGGGCCAGGACAATCGACTCAGTGCTGACACCTTCTTGGTTCATTAGGTGGGAGACGCAGCCCATCCAATCATCTGGGATGGAGCTGAGCAAAGCGGCTGAATGAACATCAGCGACAGTGAGGGGTTTATCGGTTGTCACAAGAGAGTTAAGACAATTGTACTCCTTCGCCATGGTGTTAATGTGTGTAAGGACGTCGTCGCCGTCCATCTTCGTTAGAAGGAGCTTACGGAGCCAGTAGACTCGGCCACCCGTTGATGAGTCTTGATGCGCGCGGACAATTGTGTTCCACATTCCGTGCGCGTTACGCTTGTAGGGACGAATTGCTATCAGATTGGACAAATCGATTGTTTGCGTTAGAATGGCGCAAACGGTCTTGTTATCAGCCGTCCAGGCAGCGGAGGGTTGTTCAGGAAGAGGAGAATCAATAACGTAGTCAATCCCAACAGAGTCAAAATAAGCCGTGATGACGAGCTCCCAATCGAGGAAGTTCGAGTCGGGTCCAGGGGATTGTAGGACCGGTAATCTTGCAACAGCCTATTTGAGCGAGACCGCTGTGGTTTGCTGTGCCTGTTCCAATGCCAAAAGTATACAGCAGAGGTGTTGGGATAGCATAGGTACATACATGTGACAATCATTACAAGAGAAGGAACAATCATTATGGATGAGGTGTGGTATATACGGACAGGATTACATACAACGCGTGGATTGGGAGAACATATCTCGACCAGGAATGGAACAAAGGAGTGGTGTGCATACGAGGATTGGAGTGGGAGATTGTCAGCCTGCTACTAATCAGAGCCAGCCTGAACATAGCATTTACTTATTTAGAGATATTATTACTTACATATGTACATACAATTAAAATATTAAAATACTCTATTTAAATAAGTTGAAACACTATAATAGAGACATTATTGCACTTACATTATAATATTCCATGAGAAAAACCTTTAAATAATTAAATAAACTATGAAAAATAACACTTTTAATCAGAATCTTCTAATAACTTCTGAACCTTAAGCATAACTTAGAATATTATTGCAGATTCTGAATCTACATGCAAAATAACCTAGGGTAGCTCACCAAATGTACCCCTGAATTATCACTCCTTCACTTACTTTGTAGTCCTTGAGTGATATTTGACCAAAATACACTGTAGACCCCTCCAGTTACATCATACTACATGTTGTAAGGGGGCTACATGTGTAATTAAGGTTCATGCAGTTCGGGAAAAATCTACAAACAAGGTTTACATCATTGAAACCTTAACTACATGAGCACAGACTACAGTATTAAACTGTTTGGGATGATCTGTGGCCCTTTTTGGCCCAATTGGGACAATTACTCTCTTGAAGATCAACCCATGCATCATGCAGTGCTTACATAGGCTGCAGGAGTGTTACAGTTTTGTCAGAACACCCTGTCAACATGGTTACAAGCATTACATCATCTCCTTGGCACCTGTAACCAAGCTCTACAGGTGCTACAGATGATCAAAAGCTCCCATAGGCTTAGTAGGAGAGTTGTAGCAACTAGAGAGACTCCTGAGTTCGCCTCCAGAGGCCCAGAATGGGTACTTAAGAGCCCCTTCTTCCCCCTGAACTTTGTTTCCCCATCTTCATCATTACTTACCAGCATAAACCGTCACCAACAACCAGTTTCAACCTGCCTTTTGGCCCAGTTCCTGCTGTTATCAACCTGAATTTCCATCAACCAACCAACACCTGTTCCCCAGCACTCTTCCAACCTCTCTCACCCACCTTTCTGAGCGCTTCAAGAACAGTCCCCCCCTCCTGAAGACTTCCTTGGCTTAGAGATAAGTACTAGTAAGTATTATTTCTTTGTTTCTTCAGTTGTAGGCTATTTCTGGGCATACTCCTTTATTACAAAGGACCAGAACATCAGTACCACCCCTGTAACCCAGGACCTGATATTAGAGGGCACCTTAAAAACCCCTGTAACTCAGGCCCCTCTGTAAATAAAAAACTTAACAGTTTTTATTTACTTTTCTTTTATTACCACACTTCTACCCACTTTTCACGTGTCACTCACACGTGTACACCTCTGAATACATCCTTGCACCTAGTGTAGCTAGAAGAGTTTCAGCTCTTGGCATCACTCAGGCTGACAGAGATCATATCTCAACCAGGAATGGAACGGAGGGGCAGAAGTATATACGTGGAGAGGAGTGGGAGAACATGTCTCAACCAGGAATGGAACGGAGGAGCGGTGTGTAATAAGGGTACTTTATGTTTTACGTAAGGGTACAGGGTACGGATTGTGGAAAGTGAAGGGAGGAAAAATATTGAGGCGGAGGGAGGAAGGAAGGAGTGAGGAGAGGCTTTGACCCCCAAACTCTGGATGGAAGGAGATAACAGCAGGTCTGGCAGGCTGGTACTGCCTATGCAGAGTGTTCTGGAAGATGGCTGGGTTACCTGGCGACACATGACATCATGCTGTGCTTGGTTCTGGAAGATGGCTTGGTTGCCTGGCGATGCATGACATCATGCTGCGCTTGTGTGCTCCCTTGCATGCATATTATGTGACAAGGTCTGGAGTTAAGTGTTCCTAGCACAGCATAAGCTGCGCTATTTGTTTGGAGGCTGTGCGCAAAGGCTGTGAAGGTGAGATCCCCTGCAGCAATATTCCCTCACAAGGAGTCCCCTGCAGCAGAAATCCCTCACTCTTCAATATAAAAGAAGGGCCTCTCCCCACCAGAAAGTCCCTTCTCCCCATCAGCCTACAGAAGTCTCGCAGAGCAGTAAGTTGATCCTGAGCTACTGGAAGTTTTCCGGAGTGTCAGTAAAGTGAAGAGTTAGAGTTAGTGAAGTTAGTACATCAACCTACGGAAGTAAGTTCGATCACCCAAGTTGAAGAATAAGTTAGTAAGTGAGTTAGTTAGTGATAAGTAGAGAGTTAGTACAGTATTTTAAGCGTGAAACCAACACAGAGTTCGGAATTTGAAGCACATTAGTAGTAGTAGTCATCATATAAGTAGTAGTACATTAACAATTAACCAATAACAAGTAGTAGTAGTATTAGTACCGGAGCTCTAGTTTTTGATTAAAGTGCCTTAGAAAGAAATTGTTCGAGGAAGAGATCATTAATAAACTCTATAACAACTCATCTGTTTCGTGCTCAATTCATCAGCACCACAGTTTCCATTATTAACCTGAAGTTGTAACATATTCATTAGTAGATTGATACATGATCTAGGTCTGATAGAGATTACTTTACGAAAGTAAGATCTATCTTGGAATCAGCCATACTTTATTAAATATTGATTACAAGACTCTTAGTTATTTGTTTAGTACATTTAGAGGGGCAGGTCTTTCAAACCACCCGTAAGTTGTAACAGCCTTTCAACCTATTTGCAATTTATTTCCCCCTCAAGGGATCTTTTGATATACATATACTTTACCGTGTCTATCTGTCCCAGGAGTCCTACACCGCCGATGGGGTATCGAATTCAGTTTTGTTCCCGGACCCATCGGCGGCTGGTTTCTTTGAGGACCCATCGTCCAACAACATTCCACCTTGAGAGACGAAACAAGACCCAAGAGACAGAGAAAAGAAAAAAAACGGCCAAGAGATACCGAGATTGGCCAGACGTGCACGCTACAAGCGGAAATGAGAGCGAGGAAGTGTTCAGGGAGTTATACGACCTGATTGTACCGCAACCGCAGCGATGGAGAGAGCAGTGAGAGCGATGACTGAGATTTAGTTTTAAAGTTGGATCGCAGAGAGAGACGGCTGAGGCTGAGTTCTTGAGCCGGAGAAGTAATTGTCGAGGTAGTCGACAGAGAGTTGATGATCCTTGAGATTTGTACAAAGATTTTCACCCAAATACGTGTTATTTAATGTGCCGGAAACTATCAAGAGCTGGAGCCTAGCGCGGGCTCATAACCTGATGAGCTAGACAGAGGCTGAGGACAGCAAGCACGATGTGGGTGAGTGACTGATGTTTGTGGAAGTGTCAGCGGTGGGTTACTCCGAGGTGATGAGATCCGCTCAATGGAAGTTTACTGGAGTCGTCCAGTGGCTCCAAGTCGTAGAAGAATCTAATCCAGTCCACGGTGTTCACACCCAGCCGATGATAAGTTTTGAGAATTTCAGGCTCGAGGATCCAGACAGTGATGTGTTGATGTGAGAGGGTCAAGCAAGCTTAAAGTAGTGATATGTTGATGTATCTTTGAGCTCAAGAGGAATGAGTAAATAAAATGAGGTTATTATTTTCGTCTCTTCTGAAAGTCTGGGGAACAATAGACTTCAGTCTGTACAACTTTATATATCTGGCTTGGCAGGGACAACTAGATACAAGCATATGTAGAGTATGTTAATAATGAAATGAGTGAAATGAATAAGAAAATGAGTGAAATGAGTGTGAAATGTATGAAATGTGCAGTTGGTGTAGCAAAACATTAAGTCAACTATTTAAGGGGTAACTGGGTTTTGCTTGCCAGCTGACATTTTCTACCACTAAAAAAACAGAAAAAAAAAAATGATGAAGCTATCATTTGAGAAAAATTAATCAAAGTAAAAAAGTAACCAGAGATCCTTGAACCAATACCATCTGAGAGTGTCGGCGCCTTGTGAGATGTCTTCATGAAGCTCTTCTATTCTTGGGGGCTGTTGTCCTAAATCACCTCTCCAACCAAAACCAACAAACCTGAATCCTTTGTTACTGATAGTTGTCCCAAGTTCTGGAGTCTTGTATTCGTGAAATGTAGCGCTTGAAGTACCTTCTTTCCATTCCCAAATGCCAAGTACTTGTCTTAAGTTTGCCGATGCTTGCGGTAAGTTTTCTATATCAATCGCCGTCTTTGTCTCCAAAAATCTTCTGTCTTTGACCAATGCTGGTAGGAGGTCTAGTACAGCGGGATTGTACTTGAGGAGAGCAAATCTACCGCAGCCACGTCGCAGGTCGTTGCATTCAATGATTTCAGCTTTCTTGTTTCCTAAATTTCTTGTTACAGCTAATGTCTCAGATGTCTTCGGTACTGCCCCTTCCAATTTAGAGTGAGTATTGGTGTTGAGCTTTTTCATGACCGGCAGTTCACTGGCAGCTTGGGAGTTCTTGTTGTTGGCTACTTTGTTTGAGCTAGCCAAGTCGGCTTTGTGGGTTCGTTTAGGATGGAAGAGCCGAGGGGTCTCAGAGCTTGTATTGGGAATCTGCTTCAGGTTACTAGATGGTGGCAAAGGCTCCTTCATTGGCTTTACTTCTACAGATTGTCGGAAATTGGTCGTCGGTCGCAGCAAGGTAGCTGAGAGGTGAGATTTGTTTTGACTATTTGACGGAACTGCTGGCGCCTTCAATGCCAAGGTAAGTGTTGTCTTTAGCTTTGCCGATTCTTCCGCTGTCATTGCCGGCAAACGAGAGGTCGCGGAATGATGAGTGGTGTCTCTGTTGATACAAATCTTCTTCAACTCGCTAGCCCTGCCTTCATCGTGCGAGATATCCACAACATTGATCAGGTGTCGCATCACTTTAAACGACCGGCTGCGGAGTGTCTGAGCATCTCTTTTTGACCTTGAGGAAGATGTCTTGCAAGGTTTAATTGAGACGCGCGAGGTTTCCTCCTTGTCTTCTACCAGCTTATCCTTTCTTTTCGCCAGTCTGCGACTTGATATTTGGACGGGAGCCAAAGGTATCGTTGTAAGTCTTGCTTCAAGGATCTCTAGCCGAGTCTGTAAGTTAGAGAGTTCCTTGCGGAGGACCGCGACTTCTGACATATTGGATGTTGTAATCAAAAGGGATTAACAGACAACCAGAGAGAAACAGTGATGAACGATTGAATTCTGATTCCAAAAGAGAACCGTAGTTTGGACCACAATCTGTTCAAAGGGATAACCGGCGATGATTCCAAACGTTTGGTCCAGAGATGATGCTTGATGAAAAGATGAGAAGAGTATAAGAGATGGGAAGATGCAGAGAGATGGGAGAGATGTTTGTCGTCCGGCTTGATGACCAAGAAACGACGAGGGATACCAAGACGATGATGTTTTATCTGTGTTAATCCGCAAGGTTGAACCAGATTTTATTCTTCTTAAAAAAACTGAAAAAAAAAGGATGAATCCTCGTAAAGCAAGGGTTCCGTCTGCACAGGGCTGTCCAGGTGTACAGGTATATGGGGTGGTCGCCAATTGTCAGCGGTGGGTTACTCCGAGGTGAAGAGATCCGCTTGATGGAAGTTTACTGGAGTCGTCCAGTGGCTCCAAGTCGTAGAAGAATCTAATCCAGTCCACGGTGTTCACACCCAGCCGATGATAAGTTTTGAGAATTTCAGGCTCGAGGATCCAGACAGTGATGTGTTGATGTGAGAGGGTCAAGCAAGCTTAAAGTAGTGATATGTTGATGTATCTTTGAGCTCAAGAGGAATGAGTAAATAAAATGAGGTTATTATTTTCGTCTCTTCTGAAAGTCTGGGGAACAATAGACTTCAGTCTGTACAACTTTATATATCCGGTGTAAAGCTCAAAAGTGTTTGTGAAAACCTTTTGCTGAGTGTGGAAAGGGATGAATGAGGATACCTCTGCCTTTCCTGGATCACTAGACACTAGACAAGCCCACCAATCTCAGATTGGAAGGTTTAATAAAGTGATAGTGGAGTGTATCAAAAGATAACTGTGGCTTAACAGGTGGACAAAGGGTTAACCCCGTTTTATAAGGGTCTAAAAGGTTGATTTGAGAGTGAGAGAGTGAGTCTAGCTGATATTTCAATGGTAAGGGGATGGTATGTAATGGTATGTAAGGGTTTGTAAGGGTAGGGGGTATGAAATAGGTGGATACTAAACTGAGGGGAAAACAACTGAGAGGAGAGCCTCTTAAATACACAAAGGTGAGGGATTTTAGCTTCAGGGGAACAAGATAATGAGAGATTTTAGCTGGCCAGAGTTTTACAATGAGGGGATTTAGCCAGTCAGAACATGTACATGAGGTATTTTGGCTGGTTGAGCCACCTATATGATGTCATAAGAGTAATTGTAGTTTGAACTAGAAGTCTACATGAGGGTTTTATGCTGGTGTAGCATTATACATGAGGTGATGTACTAGTCTGCAAGCTAAGGTGAGGTGATGAGTATTACATGAGTGGTGTGAGATAGTCTGACAGCTGCAAGGAAGATTAACAAGTGACATAGCAACAGGACCAGCCTAGAAGCTACATATATCAAGTGTCAGAAGATAGTGTAGTTATGTGTATACCTGTACTATAATGATGTGAGTATGTAGTTGTCCTGAAACGTGCATGTGTGTAGTGTGAATGATGTAATTCCCTTGTTGGTGTTGAGTGTTGAAGTGTTGCCA